TAACCATTTAAAACAGTAAATTAAATCTTGATCATTGATTTATAAATTGGTCTATATAGTCAGTGTCCGTTTCACGTTCATTTGTACGACAAAAGTAAACGAATAGATGTTAATCGATATTAATCGATGGTGTTTTAACTATTGATTACTAATCAATAAAAGGTCACAGATTTGTTGCTCATCGATTAGTCATTGATTTCCRATATTAATCGATTAATTAGCAACGATTGATATCGATTAATATCAATTTTATCGATCATCGGTTTCATCGATTAATTACTCCGGGCTGTAACTATAATGCTCGAAAATATGGAAAAMGCGTYGGTCATCAAGGATCATTTATTAATTTGGCATGATTTGCAGGACACAACATGACATTTTAATAAATTTCTAATAAATGGCGAATATGGAGAGCTGGTTTGTTTACTAATCTCGATCACACTAAATCACGGTATAAAACGGTCAATTGAACGACAACAGCAACAGTATACTTGCCGCTTGAATGTTAAAGCAAGCAAGTGAATTCAAGACTTGTTCCTGATATGTAATAAATCAAATACATTGCGCTAGAATCACATAAATAACATCTGAAATGTCAACTAACGAATATGTAATATTGGGGCGAGATGGTGGGGCAAGATGCCATAGTAGGGGCGAGATGGTGGGGCGAGACGGTATAGTGGGGGCGACATGGTGGGGGCGACATGGCAATGGGGCGAGATGACCGTAATTCACCATGAACTGAATCGGAAACTGTTTTATGTTTTTTTGCTTTTAATTAAATTCACAGAATAAAGTGCTTGTATCAAAAAAGATAAATAAGTACAAAACTAGTGCAAATTTATTTTAAAGAAATAGAGCCAGAGGGCTAAGTTAACTTAATAACTTTTCTAGTTAGCCCCTGTCATAAGGCAGGAGAACAGACTTGCTACTGGGATTTTCGTGATACCCRTAGCTTACAGAACAATCATAAATTCTAATTAAACTTTTTCAACCCATTAACTTATGCTTTCAAACTTTATTCTTGCTCACTTATGACAATGCACTGAGAAAGGTCAGAGTTCTAACCGAAACATCTGTGTTTTTTCATATCTTAGGCTAGTGACAAATATTTTTATTCAGTTTTTAATATGTTGGGGAGAAAGTTTTTCTGTAATTTATGATTAATGTTATTAGTGACAAATATTTTTATTCAGTTTTTAATATGTTGGGGAGAAAGTTTTTCTGTAATTTATGATTAATGTTATAATATGCAAAAACATGGTGTTGTGTTCACATTCAGATTATTAATGGTTAAATATRACATTTTTTCTSTTAATAAGGATTTGGTGCGGCACAAGCAACTACCCAAGCAGGAACTCCTGTCAAATTCAATGTCTGTATTGTTGAAATTCTGGYTTTAATCACACATAGAAATATCTTTAATTGATAATTACTCTGCACTTTGTAGGTTGTCAATGGTACAGATCAAATGGTTAAAAATGGTATTTCAACAACAGTAAATACCAGACATCAGAGTATCACTGTTATGAAAGAGTATGAAGCCAAAAGTTTTGAGGTTGGTGCATTTTATATTATTTTGGTTTTCTTTTGGAAATCATTCAATTGGAAGATTRCAAAGTTACACTACATTGTATGTTTATTGAAAGTATTTTTAGTAGTTATACAAAGTACATGGACTATTCATAACACAAACTTTTGGACTGTAACTATAATTATAATTTTATATAATATGTTCATTATTTCCAGTGATACAAAGTTATGTGTGGATTTTGATTTTCARAACACAGACTCTGATAGACAGTGTTTTCAAAATTAAAATTCATTAATTAAAATTCATTTTCTAATAATAACAATAACATATAAAATATTGACTGGATGTGTGCAAAATCAAACATTTCTCTCAAACTTAGGGCTACATGAGCTAAATGAGCTAATAAATATGAAATTAATGAATACGAAATTTTAGCTACTCAGAAAATCGGGTGATAATTATTTGAAGATTTTTTGGTAACACGAGAATGACTGCGTACGAGTGTATTGCTTTAAAGCGTGTAATTCAAATTCAGCCTCACCGACAGTTCGTTGAATTTTTAAGTGTTTCCATCTTTTTTCGGTTTTATATTTTCCTCTTTTTAACTTGCGAAACGTTCCAGATGCTACTCGTATGTGAACTGAGTGGATTCAAATGACGTGACAGTATGATGTGTGTTCCAGAGACTGTTATCTTTAGGCGATGACAGATTACTAACATGCCCGATGCAYCAATGTTTAAAAAAAGCCAGTTTTCTTTTATTAAAACTCGAAATAGGCAAAAATGAAATCCAGGGATCATGTATAGTACATTGTGGTAGTTGTATTGTCTTGCTGTTTCATCGTTTCGCCTTTTAGTAACACCCCATGTGGTATATTAATAAAAGGTGTCTTGTTTCAGGAATTACGTTGTGAAGATTACACATTAGGACGTAAAACAGGGCCTAGCACATCTGGAGGCCTGTTTTCTGGAACCACTGCAACTACCACAAGCTCTAGTACTGGAGGATTATTTGGAAGTAACACAAGTAGTTTTTCACCTTTTCCTCAAACCAAAACAGGCTTTGGAACTGCTGGTAAGTAAAGTTTTAACAAATAATATCATATAGAGGATATCATACATGGGGAAGTGGGAGATTTGAATATTAAGTAAACAACACTATTTTTTTGTAGGTGGCTCATTGTTTGGTCAAACAAATCAACAATCAGGKGGTTTGTTTGGAAGTAAGCCTGGGGGTCTCTTTGGTACCAGTACAGCTACAACATCAACGCCAGCGTTTGGCTCCACATTTGGTAGTACACAAGCTAGTGGTGGATTGTTTGGCCAATCATCAAATACAGGCCAGACAGTAAGTAATATTAATATTAAATTGCATAATGCATTGTACAATAATCCTATTCAAATTAACCAATGTAAGCCCTATGCAGCTAGGGGTCATGTGATCACAACTGACTTAAATCAATTAATACATTAATTATCACAAAATGATGCCCAGAAGTGGAAAGAGCAAATTTTTGAAGTACTGAAATGGCAAAGTTTCAAGTCTCAACTCTAGATACTTCAAGAATGACAGCAATTGTAAAATCTTCATTTTCTATAGGTTTTTTACAAAAAAGTTGATTTTCTATTTGCTAACATTTTTCAAGCATTACATAGTGTTTAACACTTGAAACTATGTCTTCTTACCAATTCTGAGCTATTCTTTCCATTTCTTGGCATCATTTTGCTATTAATAGCTGATTTATTTAAGGTAGGTATGGTCATATGATTACCAGCTACACAGGGTCTATTTGTCATGAGTTCATTGTCATATTTTAATCATACAGTGTTCAACTGTAACATGTATCACACAATGAAGTATTTTCTGACTTTTATTGTCATGAGTTTTTTTTTTTTCATTTGATTTGCATTTTCTTTTCCTTTTGCTTCGAATTTTTTGCATTGTACATTAGTGTCTTTCATAGTTCCCTGCAGCACCTTGAAAGTTCGCAGTGCCTTTGCATCAAAGTGGGTTGGTCATAGGTACCTGTGATCAACTAAACGTTAGGTACAAAAGAAGGCAAAGCTACCTTTCAAGATGGTGTAGGGAACCACGGAACCATGAAGGAAACTATTTTGTCTTTTCTGTGATTTGAAAAGGAACTGCATGTCAATGCATAGAGCGGATTTCGTATGAGTGGGAAACAGACGGTACTGTACTGTGACCGTAATCGTACTGTAACCTAATTCTAGTGCCCCATTGGTTCACCAAAATTGTGCAGGCCAGGTGCGGTAACTGTGCGGTAACCGTGCGGTAACAATGTCCCACTCATACGAAATACACTCTATGAAGTACATGTACATTCATGTATTTCCATACTCTTGCCTTAGCCCCATTGAAATATAATGAATGGAAGATTACAGCAGCTCTTATGAAATTATATCCATACCTGTCAATCATGTGTTTTCAGGGTGGATTGTTTGGTGCTACAACAACAACTCAGTCTGGGGGAATTTTTGGTTCTGCAAATACAGGTTTTGGTCAGTCAACCACTGGCACTGGAGTGTTTGGACAGACAGGTTTTGGTAATGCACAGCAACAGGTATATTTGTTTTAGTTTATATTTTTTTAGTTTATTAATGTTGGTAGTAATTGAATTTGTATTCTGTTAGCAGTCTGGACTATTCAATAACAAGCTTGGAACAGGCAGTACATTTGGATCATCTACTTCTGGTAGCCTGTTTGGCAATCAAAACAAGCCAACTACATCAGTATTTGGTGGACTTGGTGCTGGGACAGGGTTTGGTTCTGCAGCTAATAGCTCATTATTTGGTAAGCCAGCTTTTGGTACCACTAATGCTTTAAATACTGGCTTTGGTACTGCAGGCAGTAGTTTGTTTGGCTCTGGAACAAATACTGGACTTAACACTGGAGGAAATATATTAGGAAGTGGTCTGGGTACACAAACAGGTATATCCTTTRTGTTTTATGCATTATATGTTAWTTAACAATTAGACCTCGAGGTCGAGTGGACTACGAGCTAATAGCCCATGAGGTCGAGTCMGCRAGGACAAATGGGCTATTAGCTCGTAGTCCACGAGACCGAGAGGTCTAATTGTTTTAGTATAAACATACTAATCGGTCAAATAATGAAAACAAATTGAAATATCCTTAAAATTTAATAAGATTGATTTCCCCGCGAGTGGTCTATCACAAATTAGACCATTAGTAGAGTAGCCAATCACAGCGCAGTATGAGTGATAGACCATTAGTATGTTTATACTAAATGATTTTATCATATAATTATCTATGAAATACCTCCTATATTTCTCTATTTCGTAAAGTTGTTATTTTTATTAGTGAAAGTAACCCATTCTAGGTTTCTATATATATTGTAAGTAAGAAGAAATGTATTTTGTGACATGATTTGCTTTCATATACAATTATATGATAAAAAGAATATTACATGTTTGTTTAGAAATACGAATTTTATCTTCTCATGTTGAAAATCTCTCACTCATTCTTTTCAACACTCAAAAATAAAACCTGTATCTCTGCCCGCCCATGTAATATCCTCTACAGTATATAATGTTACAATTCTTTGCAATTAATGATAATTATAATACTATAATAATTATATGCAATTATATTGGTTTGTTTGTTTTTCTAGGCTTTGGTACAGCATTTGCACCTACAGGCACAGCACTCAATTTAGGAGCAAATACCTTGTTGGGGTAAGTTGCAAATTAAGACTGAAAGTRAGGCATACCTCAAGATATTAAATTCTTTAATGAATTTACAAATGGCAAAAACATTCTAAAGGCAATAAGACAAGATAAACAAAATGCATTTCAATGTATGTGGCTTTTCATATTTACCAAAAGATGAGGGCAACATTTTATAAGATTGTTGACATGAAAGGCATGTATGTTGTTGAGAAACATTTAAGCTTACTACATCTTTGATTACATTCATAAAGTCCAAAAACGTAGGCTAGTTACCTACAATGCAACATCTGTTTGGCAGAGTTATGTAAAAAAATTAACTTTTCTAACAGGAAAAATAAGTGGCTTAACCAGCACACCAGTCCATCATCTATCTCATTCCTGTACCTCTCAATTGCTTACACAATGCTCATTAAAGATTACTATAATTACATTCATCATTGGTCTTCATTGTAATATTGACATTTTGGAGGTCTTTTTATTGTCATATATTAGTACTGTCTTGTATTCATTTATAGATCACAAAATAACAGTTTGGGTCTGGCACAACAACAACAGCAGCAACAGCTTCTTCTCCACCAACAGATACTAGCACTGAACAATTCTCCATTTGGTGATTCCAAGTTGTTTAGAAACTCACTTAACGTAAGTTTGCAGTCTGTTTGACTTGTTTTTTGTTTTCCTTTTGCTCATTGCCCACTTTTGAAAATTTTGGACATTGCAAGATTTTCTATAGTCTTTGTTACTGTATTGCAGCTTTGAAGTGTGCTTTGCGTTGATTTGACAGAGATGCAGCTTGTGGCAAGAATGCATTAACTTCATGCAGAAACCTATAAGGGACTTGAAACGTGTAAC